TTACAAAGAAGCAGTAGTGGCTTAATGGTGTTTATATTCTCATTTAATTCCTTCACAGAGTTTCCTAGAGATATAAGGTCCAACTTATTTTGTTCAGCAGTTGCATATACCTCTGACAACAAGTCGGGAACAATGACTTCGGGGACATTGTTGAGGCTACGCGGAACGCACAGTGATGTACGTATCTTCTTAGCTGAGTGACCCAAACTATTCTTACGTATGGAAAGTACTCGTTTATTACGTTGTGCCATTGCTGAAAACTAATCAATATGGTTTAAAGTTAAAGCCGAGCTAAATCGAAAACGGGTATATGGAAAAATAGTATATCGAGTGGATATACAGATTAAGTACTACTATGGATACCGTATGGAATTTTATTGCTTATAAATAAACAATAAATTTACAAAGTACTAAAAAGTAAATACAGAGTATATAGAAACCAATTATCCTGTAAATTGATCCTGGTATGTAAACCAAAAATGATGAACTTCTCTACAGTTTTCTTTTCTGTGACGTTGTTCTAAAGTTACAATAAGGAGGATGAGCCCTGCGAAAGAGTGGATCCAAACTTGATAACTGGCGGTGATATATCTGCAGAATTGGAAGCTAGAGTAGCAGCCAATATAAGTTATAGTTGAGCAGTGGTATAATATCCACTACAATATTCCAGAAATCGACAAAAATATATCCACGTTATGGGGAGAGATTGTAACGTCCGATCAGAATCGCGCGCTTGTTGACGATCTGCGAGTTTATGTGTACTGTTTGTATATATGTGTGGTGTGTCGTATAAATTGGTGGTTTTTGATCCACTGTGTTTACTCGTTGTTTTCGTACCTTGTTGTTATTACATAATTTTGTTAAATTTTTCGTTGTGCTTACTTCTGGAGTTGTTTCGAGTCTTCTACATCAGTGAATGAATTGATTGATGTTAAGGACAGCAGATGGGTCGTATACGCTGAGGAGGCTATTTCTGAGAATGACATGCACACGGAGATAATTGTTAGCTGCGGTCCCATGAGCCGGGGAGCGAGAGTGTAGACGACTGAGGCTTGCATACGTCACCGTTACTAGAATTGAGGCAGAATGAGTGACAAGCGATTGCAGTGGTAATTGGTAGTGGGTAGATAAGAGGATGTGCGTAGAGTATCATGAGGTGCTGCTATGGTCACGTTGCGTTCTGCAAGAGTCACTCTAGCAAGTGGCGATTGTGTTGCAAGAGGATGTGTCAAGAGGATGCCTTTAACTGGAAGGCGTAGGTCGTCATTGATGTGTGAGATTGTGCTGTGGAAACGCTTGTGATGTGTTGGCTTTTCTGTTTGTTTTCTATTTCAGCTCTGTCCGTGTGACCCAGGTTCTCGCAGTGGCATCCAAATCAACGTGCATTGGTCGTGATGGAAAAATGGGATGGATCCCATTTTTGTAGTTGAAGATTGAACGATCAATTCATGGTTGTTTGCTCAAACCCAATCCCTCCATATTTTTCGTGGGAGTCATCAATCAGCCATTCATCGTCTCATCGGTCGCTGTTCAGAAAGAAGTCAGGACAAAACCGTCAGAAGTAATATTGTGATTTATTATTGTATTATTTGTTCATAGACCTTAGTTGTAACATTGGTTATATGTTGGTGTTAGAATAAATAATTCTCGAGTCGCCAATGTGTCCTGGTTTTTTCGTCCGTTCGTACTAAGCGTTTCTGAGAAGCTTCGAGGAACAGCGTGAGTCCCAGCGTAGCAAGAGCTCGGCATCAACGGTTTACGAGACGTGGCTGACAAGGTTTGTAGGCGTACTGTTGTAAGCCCTTGTAAGAACCATTGAATTCTCACACTTGAATCAAGTCAACCTGTCCCGGATCAGCCTAGCGTTGTTGCAAGCCGATTATCCATGCTCAACGTGTCTATCCCTCCTTGTTTAATGAACTGTGTGTATGTGTTTTTACCTCGATCCGTTTAGTCAGAGAGTTGAACTCATGACCCAGTCAGAGTATTTTGTGAACTGTTATATTTGCTGACCCATGTCTCACTTTGTACTATTCTGTCGAGTTTATCCTATTTATTGATCTTCATCTGTAGCAGCCTACCTGGTTAAGTAGCCAATTAAATTCTATCTTTGTGGCTATGCTCTGTCTATCTTTTAGCCGCTCTCTGTTCTATGCCCTGCCTTACTTGGGTTCATTCTTCTACTGACTGCTTACCTGAACGGTCGTGTCTGATTCCGGCTAGTTCACAATTTCGGCTTTAACGTTATTCTACTCTGATAGCGTTACCTTGCTTTCTATTAAGCGTTGTGCTTTGCACTCTTGAAACCGTTAAGGTTTGTTGTATATAATTATTGATTTGTTTATTAATAGTACCGTAGAAACGGTGACCGGCTTCTTGTTTGTTCTGGACCGGATAGCCTTTATCTACGCGTGGCTTAATTTCAAGCTATATTGAGCCTACATCTGACATCTCCAAGGGTACGACGTCGAACCTGAGTCCATCGTACTCTGTGTGTGATTTTGTACATATGTTCATATTGTATACAATGAATTGGTATCATCTCTGATCTATCTGTTGATAATTTTGTTTGTGTCCGAACGTCTTCCGCTTGTATCATCAAACTGAGAAGGAATGTAGGCGTACTGCTGTAAGTCCTACAGTTCTTCAAAGGTAGTCCGTCATGCCAGAATCCACAACATTTGATGTACTGATTGTACAAATGTTTGTGATAAATAATTGAGTGGGCTCCAATTAATGTAATTGTTGGTTAATCTTGTTTGTGTCCGGACATTCTTCAACCTACAATCGTCAACGTGAGGAGGGTTGCAGGCGTACTTCTGTAAGTCCTGCAATTCTTCAAAGGAATTACATCGACACACGATCTGCGAGTTTATGTGTACTGTTTGTATATATGTATGTTGTGTCGTATAAATTGGTATTTTTTGGATTCATTGTGTTTACTCGTTGTTTTCGTACCTTGTTGTTATTACATAATTTTGTTAAATTTTTCGTTGTGCTTACTTCTGGAGTTGTTTCGAGTCTTCTACATCAGTGAATGAATTGATTGATGTTAAGGACAGCAGATGGGTCGTATACGCTGAGGAGGCTATTTCTGAGAATGACATGCACACGGAGATGAGGATTAGCTCTAGAATTAATTATTTAGAATGACTATTTCCATTTAGGCTGTGGTCCCACACGCCGGGGAGCGAGAGTGTAGACGACTGAGGCTTGCATACGTCACCGTTACTAGAATTGAGGCAGAATGAGTGACAAGCGATTGCAGTGGTAATTGGTAGTGGGTAGATAAGAGGATGTGCGTAGAGTATCATGAGGTGCTGCTATGGTCACGTTGCGTTCTGCAAGAGTCACTCTAGCAAGTGGCGATTGTGTTGCAAGAGGATGTGTCAAGAGGATGCCTTTAACTGGAAGGCGTAGGTCGTCATTGATGTGTGAGATTGTGCTGTGGAAACGCTTGTGATGTGTTGGCTTTTCTGTTTGTTTTCTATTTCAGCTCTGTCCGTGTGACCCAGGTTCTCGCAGTGGCATCCAAATCAACGTGCATTGGTCGTGATGGAAAAATGGGATGGATCCCATTTTTGTAGTTGAAGATTGAACGATCAATTCATGGTTGTTTGCTCAAACCCAATCCCTCCATATTTTTCGTGGGAGTCATCAATCAGCCATTCAGCGTCTCGTCATTCGCTGTTCAGTGGAAGATAAAAAGCTATCAGAAGTATTATCGTGATTTATTGTTATAATATTTATTCTTAGAACTTGTGTATAATAACCGTACTTTTGTTTACGTATCTGCGTAAGAATAAAAGATTCTCGAGTCGCCATTCTGTGTTCTGGTTTTTCGGCGTTGGTTATTACCAATTGTTTCTGAATATCTTCCAGGGATAGCGTGAGGTCCAGCGTAGTAAGAGCTGGACATTGACAGTCACTGAGAGTTGCCTAACAACTGTGTCTAATCGGTCTGGAGAATTATTTGACGCTATATGCGCAATCCTCTCAGTCCTTCAACGTTACGCAATTTACCTATTTAACTTTATTTACCTTCTGGTAAAATTACAATTTCCCAATACGTAATTGTAACCCACCACCTTAAATTTCATTGACAGATCCCAGTCATAACTTCGTTGTTTTGTTAGAATACATTCTCGGATGGTGCAACTGGTGGTGAACGCTGAGAATTTACATTCTCAGTTGGCACTAGACTAGGAGTGATCACGGAGCAGGTTTACATATGCACAGGTCTCTGTTGCAATCGCCGTGCGTGAGCAAGAAGAGTTTATCATTACTTTCATTGACGTCCTTATATAATCACTAAAAAATTGATGGATAGGTGTGCGTCGGTGGCACAGTGGTTAGGAATCTCACCGACCATGCACATGGTCCGAGGTTCGAGCCCTCGCCGACGCACACCTGATATCTATGGTCGGCCTGCAAAATTTGGGCTACCGATATCCACGCTGAAAATTCCATACTTGTACCAGAAATACGGTGTGGAATCAAGCTGTAATCAAAAATAAAATAAATAAAAATAAAAATGAGGTTGGATGACTTTGCAAAATCTACCCAATGAAGGAATTCTAACCATATGGACTTTATCTGTATCGTAGTTTTACCTCTACTGATCACCCATTTCTTTCGCTAGATATGTTCCAGAAACTCTTTCTTATAACTCTTCTAGTAGCTATCCAGTGTTCCAGTTAATCTTAAGCTACTCCGAAGGACCGAATAGTGACTATATGATTACTGATCCCACCAGAGACATTCAATATGCTTAACGCAGCCCATCCGAACCAGTTTACTGAGTCGGCGCACCACAGTCCCCGAAAACATAGGGTGGTTGTTCAGAGCCAAGGAGCTAGCTCAAGTAAATTGATGTGTCAGCATGTTAGTATATATCGGATACTGGAATCAATTCTGATGGTCTTGACAAGAAAGTGATGTTTGGATGATCACTCAACTAAATCGTAGGTCATATCCATGGAAAAATAAAACTTAGCGGTGGAAATATGAGAATTAGCCTAATTTACTGGAAGGCATGAAAATTAGACAATGTTTGCATAACAGACAGTGAATGTTGTATTCGTATCAACAACGACTGTGAAATTCACGCAGAAATTCAAACGGGTCGCTTCAGCCGCGAGGCTTGTATTATCACCGATAACAATGCCAAATATCAAAGTGTTTTCTGGTAGCTCCAACCAGGATTTGGCTCAAAAAATAGCTGACCGTATTGGTTGTCGATTAGGAAAAGTAACTTCCAAAAAATTCAGCAATCAGGAGACAAGGTTAGTAAAGTCCTTGTGACATTTCTATAGTACAAGGACAAAACCTAACATATGTGCTCTTTTAGTGTCGAGGTTGGAGAATCAGTACGTGGAGAGGATGTATATATCATACAGACTGGCGGCGGAGAAGTTAATGACAATCTAATGGAACTGCTTATAATGATAAATGCCTGTAAAATCGCTTCTAGCTGTAGAGTTTCAGCAGTTATCCCGTGTTTTCCGTATGCCAGACAAGACAAAAAGGTGAGTTGCTTGTTCAGATGCTGAAAAATGAATGCTTTTTTGATCGGTTCTGAGTTTGTCCTAAAAATCATTTTTAGTCTTCATAGTCTAAGTTTTGCCACCAACTTCCATAATAAGGCATTATTTCCTCTGGTCTAATGCTGTTCTTCATGGTAGCACTCGTAGTATTAATCCCGAACTACCATCAAGGGACGCTAGTCCTCACAGACATAGCATCTAATTGTGTATATATTTAGTTTACCACTATGATTCAGATTCATAATAATAATAATAATAATAATAATAATAATAATAATAATAATAGGCTCTTGTTGCCTATGGTAATCCTTGTAGTGTAGATCTTTGCAAAGATCTAGTTCTCCGTAAAGGGCGTTGACCTATAGAGCTTTCACTACTGAATCAGGTAAGGAGTTACAGCCGTTGATCATTCTGTGAGAGAATCTAAATTCCACACATTTTACTCGACCTTGATTTGAACACCTTATTGTGGTGACCACATAAATGTAGAGGGAAAGAAAAGGATAGAAAGGTCAACCGTTAAATCATCCTTTAATCTTCAGTATGCCAAAATTAGTTCTACTCTCCTCCTTCGGCATGATAATCGGAGGAGATTTAAATGCTCCATCCTCTTATCACAAGAAAGGTATGAGATACTACTAAATAATGTGGTCCCTACCCTCTGTACTCTTACCAGAATATGTGCCTCCTTTTTGAAGTATGGACTCACCGCTTGTATGCACTATTCTAGATGAGGCCCGACGTGCATTGCATAGAGTACTTAGAACATGACCTCATCTAATCGTTTGAAAGCCCTTCAAACTGGCATTCGAAAAGCCCTAGCTGCGACTCCATTACAATTTGCGGTTGTTTTTAAGCCATAGTTCATAGTAATTCCTGAGTCCTTTTGTCCCCTAACATATAGCAGTTCTGTTTACTCCGGGGAGTACGACGTGTAAGTCCTCTGACTTGGGTGCATTACCGAGCTTTTCTTGGAATTAGTTCCCAGACTCCAGAGGTTAGTCCATCCAGCTAATTTATCTAGATCGTTTTGTAGTACCATCCTATCATCGTTACTATTTACTGTTTTCCATGTCTTTATATCGTCTGAAAATAATAAGGAAGATAAGGTGAGAATTTTCGGCACTTCATTAACGTGTAATAGGAATAGCAGGGAGCCAAGTACATTTCCCTGAGGTACTCCACCTAGTACCGCATTCCACCCTGATAGTACATCATTAACCCTTGCCTTCTGCCTTCTATCCATCAGGTAGTCGCCAAACCACTCGCATAAGCGTTGGTCTAATCCAAAACGTCTAAGTTTACTCAGATACCTTATTGAACGCTTTACTACGATCGATAAAGACAACGTTCATTAGAAAGTTCTTATCCCTGGCTTTGACCCAATCTTCCCTAGCTAACATTAATTTTGAAAGCAGGATCGTCCTGGTAGGAATCCATGATGTTCCGCTACCAGTAAACCATATTTCTCCATATGAGCTAAGAGCTGAAGCCTTATAAGTGTTTGTAACCGCTATAATGCAGGTCAGACTTACAGATCGACAATTAGATACCAACTGTCTGTCCCCCTCTTTGAATATGGGGTTTATAGAAGCATCTTTCCAGTCCTTCGGTCAGAAACATTTTAAAAATCTCCGTCAGCGAAGTGTATGTTATTTCCCTCAAGGAGATTGGGTGAGGGTGAAGTCCGTCAGGTTCAGGTGATTTACCTGGCTTCAGCTTAGACAGTAGTTTGAGAACCACTGTATCCTCTACCACAATCGTGAGCATTTTATTGGTTACAGCAGTGACCTCGCTACACCCCTGAGTGATACGATTAGGCGAAAAAAACGTCACAGAAGTATTCGGAGATCTTTTCAGCTTTTGTTTCGTTTGACTCGGCCGCCTTTTCAGTATTGCTTATGAGGGGCGGTATACCACTGCTAGTTTTAGTCCTGCGTTTGATGAGTACAGTCTTTTTGAATAATGCACACAATCTAGTACTAACTGTATCTCATACTCTATACGACTTTTGTCAATCAAATACAAAGGTTTCGAAATTTTGCGGTACTCCATCCGAAACTCCTCCTTCCCAGTCACAGTAAACCGGTCCCATAAGTTCTATCCTTTCCTTAATAACCACCTTATTTTATTACTAATCCAAAGTGGTTTATGTGATAGTTTTCGAGGCGTAGAGCAAGGTACAAAAGGTTCAGTGACGCAATCTAGTATATTCCTAAGTCTCATCCAAGCCTCCTCGACAGTCTGGTGTGTATCAACAGACTAGTCAGCTACGGTTGCTGCATTTCGGATTGCAGGTATATTCACTTTCCAAATGTTTGGACGAGCAGCTGTTGACTTACGTATGACGGTATGAATCCTCAACGTAAGTGGTAACTATAGCGGTGGAAGGCACCTAATGTCGCCGACATCCTCCTTTTGGTGTGTTAGCACCAAGTCTAAAGTCTATGGGTCATGTTCAGGGTGGTATCATGTTCGTGCATGTATATGCTGCACAAGTGTGCATCCAAGCATTGTCAGTGAGTTCCCTATTGAAACAAGTATACAAGGTAGTTGATGTTAATTCCTCCCAATTAGCATCTGGGACATTGAAGTCACCTACTATTAAACACCTGTTTCTACTGCTCCACACCCTAAGCTGATTTGGTATGAAATCGTCAGCTTGGCAGGCAGGACTTGTACAAATAACCCCGATTGTCACAGTGCCCTTGTTCAAGTTAATGAAACAACTTGCGGCTTCACTAGCGCCGCTGTCATTCGCTTCTAACAACGTTGACCTAATTCATATGTCATCCCGGATGTATAGAGCAACCCCACCACCTTTCCGACTAATTACTCTGTATGCTGCAATACAGATGTACCCCAGTATGAGTAGAGTTAAGTCTACACCTACTAACAACCATGTTTCAGTGACAGCGATCACGTCAGGTTGTAGTCTTTCAGATAATACTGCTAATTCAGGGAGCTTATTCCTAAGACTACACGCGTTCGTATAGCACACAGAAACATCTATGTGTTCACTCGACTTATGAACAGAGGTCTGGACAACATAGGTCCCCGAGACCTCACTATTTGATAGCCAGACGGTTTTAGGTCTTTTTACCCTTTTTCTAGTCCAGTTTTTAATTGTGCAACGGCTTCTCCTCTTATAATTCTATCTTACAACGGTCGATCATGCCTTATTCTCAGCATTTTACACTTGATCTAAAATGCGTTGATGAGAATAATGCTTTTTTCTACCTCGCTCCCTAGTACCATCTTCAATAGAGTCATCAGGAACTTTCGGCGGCTTCAGCACTTCGTTTACTGATTCTGATGACCTTATCACTAAGTCCAGTCATTTTCTTTTTCATATAGTTCTTCAGCTTCCTGTTTTTTGGCACTAACCAAGTGGGATTAGTTTCTTCCACTTTACTCTCACCACAGCTGAGAGCCATGCGTTCACTAAACACGCAACGCTTTGTTTTGGTAGTATCACCCGGCTGGTCTTACGATACTGACACTACTTGCCGTCTTGGAATCTTGTAAATAATTTCATTGTGTAAAGAACTGAAAGTATAGAAGGTCAAAATGGATTTTTTTAAAGGTGGGCTGTGTTCTTAAAGAAGACTTCAGAATGTTGAATTGGAATCATGGCATTTTTTTAGGTAGAGACAGATTTATGTGGTCGTTGTAGAAATCATTTCTCCTTAGCTATTTGTGTGTCGTCGTACAGGCTTATTCAACATTTTTACTCTAAGACTTTACCTTAAGAACTACTCTGACAGTGCTTTAACACCTCTCTTGTGGAGATGTATTTTACTGATATTGACCTTTATGCTGTTGTTTTCGTTGTTATTTCTATATATCGTATGGTCAGCTTGATTTTGCTTACCTACTTAGTCAATTTTTACAAGATTTGTTAAACTAAAGTCAATTCTTCCTGTGGAAGGATGCACATTTTCATGTCCATATGTCTCTAATTGAAATAGGTATATGGTTAAACACTACACTTTGGATTTCTACGATTAAGTACTAACTAAAAGGGTTCTTTGTTAATATTCAGAGTGTTCAAACATCGCAAATAATAATGTTAACTTTTATTCTAAGATGTATAGTTACTCACGAGTCTGTTACGATAAACTTCAGTTTGTACATTAGCATCAGGGTTTACTAGATTCGTTGGAGCTCACTTTCCCGTAACAGACTTTTCATTCACCGGGCTATGATCCACACCGTGTGAGAGTTGATGGTATTACCCAGTTGCTCAGGTTAAAGATGTTGGAGTGACATTCGCACTCGAAACCACATAAACGAAAGTTGGGTGCTCAAGCCAAACGTAGACATCCTGTAGAAAAACTTATCAACTCGCGGAAGTTTAAATCAGTTCTGTTCTCTTAGAGGAAGTCTCATTGTTTAAGTCACACTCAACCATTGACAAACGAGGGTTGAAGAAGTCCAAATACCGTCCAGTAGTTAGCAAGAGTATTTTTACACACCGCTCACCAGTTAGTCAGAAAAATTCTATCAGAGGTTCGTCTAAGATTGTAAAAGTTTTGCATGATAGCCAATATAGTAGTCCTAAATCGTAACTTTTTGAGGTAGTCTCTCAGAGTTAATGACTTGGTTGAAAGAAGTCAGCTTTGGTAATGCACAGGTTTAGACTCAGAGGTTTTAAGAAAGAAAAGTTTCAAGTCAGCATGTGAAATGAGAGTTAGTTAAGATTATTGAAAATCTACTGTCCACCAAATCAATTCGGTAAACAGAGTATGCAGTCCAGAAGACAAATAATATCATTGTCATATCTACTGTGTTTCTGAACCTATTCACAATGAAATCTTATCAATCACTTGCAGAATTATAACCTTATTCAACTCCTTGGAATCATACATCAGATATGAATTCAGACGAGTAGGTTTCTATAGCGGCATTCGGCTTGGCTTGAAACTTGGTTTCCAAAGTCCTTGCTCTTTGCATCTTGTTCAATACAAATTTAATTGGATGTGTTTGTGTCTAAGTGTGTACTTCACATTGTTTAGTTCGTAAATGAGGCTTTCTACCACTAGTATCTGGGTATACTTTCAGGGATGCGAATTTTGAAAAAGGGTAGAGTGATGGGCAACCTATTAGAATCTTACTAAATGACATGAATGCTGTCGTTCCTGCGTTGTTGTTAGTTTGTTTAGCTAATGTGTGTCTTCCAAAGGTTTCAGCTTGAGACGTAGTCAATATTTGTTTGTTCTAATTTAAAGTCGGATGAGTTACCCCTAACTCCCGGCCGACAACTGCTACCTTGTTCTGGTGGTCGGCGTTGAATACCGCAGTGACCCGACAAGCTAAATTGGCTGGGAATCATGTTCCTGCAGGTCCTACCATGTAAGGAAGGTTGTTTGGATAGTGGTTAGACTAAAAGCAGTTACCATGGGGTACATGGGCTCCAGAATACAATTGGATCAAATGGCGTGTGAACCTATATTGGTCACCGGCAACAATGGGAACTTAGCTCCTGATGCTGCTCCACTGCCTTGCAGATTATACTTCAAGTCAAAGGCTCTGGGGGTGGTCCCTTAAGAAAGCCACCTGCTTCAGTCTGGGCACCCGGGCAGTATCTCAGCCTTCACACAATAAATGAAATGAAGCAACAAACTACCAGTGAAACTTATCGCGCCCTCGTAACGATGCTTCCAAGCAATAACGATGTTTCAAGTAACACATCTTTTACCAACCTTACTTTTATTTTTATACATGGACTGCTGTATTTTACCCTTGCTAACTGTGACGTCTTCACCTTCGATAGCCTTTCGCCTCTGTCTGAATTCCCAGCCTATATGTGGCGTCTCGAGATATTAGTGAGTAACCTTCAAAATGTTATCCCAAAGGCTTTCGCACAGGTCTCTGTTCGCTAGGCCTGGGACGGGATGGAAAAGGGGTAGGGGTTGTCAATCCATGACGTGGCGTCGTGGGATGAAGGATGTTTGTGCTAGATTAGCATCGGTTGGTGCGTCACGACTGCCTGGTTGGAGTCCAAGAGATAGCTCGAATCGATGGCTCGAAATGTTATCGGATATGGCCAAGAATTGTTATCATCAACGGCGAACGTGCTGCAATTTCATTTTTTCTTCCCTTCCTAATAATAGTTGAGGAATACTGTGTGAACTTGTTAAGTGCAACTGTTTTCCTTCCAGATGAAGTTCTTTATCCGTTCTCAACTTGTAGTTTTACTTTTAATCTATGTTTTATTATTATTATTGTGTGGCGCATCTTTCTTAATGCCATATTATACCAAGTTTTTCTGCGTTTAAATAAATAAGTGAATAATACCCCTAACGGGATAAATAACATTTACTTATACTCTTGCTTGGTTAGCAGTATAGCTCATTTTATTACAATGGGGATTAAGCGAACAGTTCAAGCGAAAAGATTATTGTTATTTCCTGTAATTCCTAGACGAACATAGGGCTTTAGCCGCGCGTCTCCATTGGGTTCGGTTCTCTGCTACAGTTCTCACCTGGTTCCAAGTCTGCCGACATGATTTCATCTCCTTTCCACGTCTCATCTCCACCTCACACTGACGACCGACTCGTCGCTTCCCTTTCGGGTTCCACTCGACTGATGTCTTGTCTAGTGATGTCACTTGATGATTTCCTCAGAGTATAACCAATCCAATCCATCTCCATTTCTTCCTGCCTATTTGTTGCATAATTGGTACCTGGTTGGTTTGCTCCCAGAGATCCCTCTTGCTGATCTTTTCTGGCCATCTGATCTCGAGGGGTATTGAGCGAAGACAGGTGTTAATGAAGGTTTGTGGTTTGTTTGAGGTGTTCTTTATGATGCACGAAGTCTCTGATCCGTATAGTAAGTAGCACTGACTTCACATTGGAGTTGAAAATCCGGATCTTATTTTTGAAGCTGAGTGCTGTTGACCTCCACACAAACTTGAGAGTAATGAAAGCTTGTCTTGCCTTCCCGATCCTTGCTTTGATATCCTCGTCAGTTCCGTGTGCCTGTAGTTGAAACGATGCTTCCCAGGTAGGTAGGTAGGTAGGTAGGTAAAGGAGGGTGTTTCTTTCAGGTTCCTCCTATTTATACTAGCTGATTGTTGTCTGTTGTTGTTGCTGTTGGTTGTTGTCCAGGAATCTTCATCACCTACTTCTGTTTTCTCTATGTTCACCTGAAGTCCTATCGCTACCACAAGCGAAAAGATGGACACTGATAACTTATGTCTCCTGTGATAAATTCAACTGTTTTGTAGCTGTGAGTTTTAATGTTCCTACATTACAGTAATGGTCACCGCTTCCTAGTCTTTGTATATTATTTAGTGCTCTGATCCACTCGAAGGTGGTGGTCATATGGAAAGAATGAATGACAAACCAACTGGTGGCATATAACTCAGATATTATTTAAGGCTTCTTTTGTATCTATGAAAAGCAACTTTACATGGCACTAAAAAAACCTTATTTAGCATTAAAGCTTTCAGTTAAATTGAATTTGTTAATGAATTGTCTTTTTTCTAATCAAAATCTTTATAACAGGATAAATCACGTGCTCCAATCTCTGCTAAATTAGTTGCTAACATGCTGTCAGTTGCTGGAGCTGATCACATAATCACAATGGATTTACATGCTAGTCAAATTCAAGGCTTTTTTGATATTCCAGTGGATAATTTATACGCAGAACCAGCAGTTATAAAGTGGATTAAAACAAATATACCAGAATGGAAAGATTGTTGTATTGTTAGCCCAGATGCTGGTGGTGCTAAAAGGCGAGTTTTTTTGTTGTTGTTGTTGATGGCCGTATTTTTATAATGTTGTGACGTCACTTGGTATCTAGTTGTGTATGTATCTGTCTTAAAGTCTTTTTCTTCCTTCACTTTCCCAGTGGAACGTAGGGCTTCAAGCTAGTGGCTTGAAGTTTCTTTAACAGTGTTTAATTTTACAGGATGGGGTTGCTAGCTCCATGCCTAACCTTTCCTCTTTACCAGTATTGTTTCTGGCTTAGCGAGGTAAAGGAGTTCGTCGGCCGGGGATCGAACCCCGGACCATGTGCATGGTCGGCGAGCGTCCTAACCGCTATGCCACCGACGCACATCTTGTAGTCTGTAGTGTGTTAACTATCCTGCTTAAGAAAACTGCTGCGTAGGGTTTCAGGTAAGGGGCGAGAATCAATCCATGAGGTTGTGAGGCCACATCTATTGAGATGGTTAGGTCACATATTAGTCATGAAGTCACCTCTTTCCTTGCTGAGTAACGTTAGCGCTAACATAATATTTAAGTTTGAAAGGAATAAGAGGTGGTCAGAGCAAAACTTGGCATTAATTAATCCATGAACTCATCAATGGGTGAAGAGTGCTCGCTTTGTTGACTGACATCTGCCTTTTCATATATATATATATATATATATATATATATATATATATATATATATATATATATATATATATCTTTTGCATCATAAACCTTCGATTGATATATCTCTTGTATCTTGCGTTATTCTCATCGGATTTATCTCTTATCTTGTCTGTATTGTTCATTATGATAAAGGTTTATTTTGTATTTCCCAGTGAATGAGTGGAAAACAAAACGATACTGTTCTTTGTACTGACGTTTCGCTATTTAATGCTACTGCTAATAGCTTTATCAAAGTAGTATTATTAAACCGGAATCTACAAAACCCACTCAGCTTATATATAACAAAGATTCTAAAGATTCTCTACCTAATTGTGTCTATAACATAAAATGCTTGGAATGTGATGTGATATACATCAGACAAACCTCACCAGAGAGAAATCAAGGTAATCCGAAGAAATGAATACCATAGGGCATCTGTTCGACCACCGAGAAATCCAGTTGAACTAGAGAAACCTGAAAAATCATCAGCCAGCCATAGGTTGCTTACACCCTATAGAATCAGGCCACAAAATTGATTTTGACAATATTGAAATCATCATCCAGAAAAAGCATTTCAGAAATCACAAACAACCCCTAATATCATCAGAAGCACTTCGTATCAAATGGAGTCCAAATTATTTGAGCTGAATAGGAATGATGGACTAAAACAGAATTTGGTCTAGTTACAACAGCCCCCCTTCCCCATGAAGCAAGCAAGTTCACTATGTAAACACACACTGCTTTTATAATTTTACACACTGATCAAATCCAACAATCTACACCTACCTGGTTTTGTTATCTTTACTAATTGACCCACTTGACAATGAAAAATGACTCCAGACTGACGAACGATCATCAAGTTAGTAAACTTTGTTTTGATATCATAACAGACGTACTATTACCTTTGTTATTTGGTTTAGTGATTGATCTTCATTGTTATTTTGACTTTCAATATGTCCCTTTAACTTGACCTAAGTAGTCCATTTCCTCACCTCTTCACTCTTTGTTGTGTGTAAGCTGAGTGGATTTTGTAAATTCCGGTTTAATAATTCTACTTTGATAAAGCTATTAGCAGTAGCATTAAATAGGGAAACGTCAGTTAAAACGACAACAATATCGTTTTGTTTTTCATTCATAGGGAAATACAAAAAAGCTTTATTATAATGAATATCATATACTCAATGCCCAAATTTTTTCAAACTGTTAAAAGTGAACTTGATTTGGACATATGTATTGTCCATTGTTAGAATTGTGAAAATCACACTTGGCGCAAATCAACTTTTCTTTCCTGTTATGCAAGTAAGACAATACTTTTGTTGAACAAAGTCTCATTTTGAGTTCTCGATACTGTGTGCCACAGTTAGTGTATGTATTCTAAGAGGTATATAATGGTCAATCAGTTTGAAGGTTGTTACTCTCTAAGAAATATAAGTATAGTAAGATAATTGACACTGAGTAGTGTCATTATCCTCCTCTGGTTAGAATTCTCCACATCCGAGAATAAAGTCGAAGGTGTATGAAGATTTTCAACTCCAATGTTAAGTCAGTGCTACTTACTATACGGATCAGAGACTTGGCGCGTCATAAAGGGCACCTCAAACAAACTACAGACCTTCATCAACAACTGTCTTCGCTCAATACTTTGCTCAAGATCAGTTGGTTGACCAGAAAAGATCAGCAAGAGGGATCTCTGGGAGCAAACCAACCAGGAACAGATTGTGCAACAAATTAGCAGGAAGAAATAGAGGTGGATTGGATTGGCCATACTCTCAGGAAATAAACCATCAAGTGACATCACTAGACAAGCCATCAGTCGAGTGGAACCCGAAAGGGAAGCGGCGAGTTCGTTGTCAGTGCGAGGTTGACATGGAATGGAGGAGGTCATGTGAAGAGGAGATGAAAGCATGTCGGCAGACCTGGAGCCAAGTGAAAACTGTAGCAGAGAACCGAAGGCAATGGAGACGTGCTTGGCTGAAGCCCTATGTTCCTCTAGAAATTAAAGGAAATAATTATAATCTTGAAAACCCTATATATATATATATATAGAAAAGCCTCGGCGATTTTGTCACCGCTTTATTCTGTAATGTCGGTGATGCGTATGTAATACATTGTTCGACAGTATCCCAGAACTCTTATATGTAAAAATAAAGGAGTCGTTGATAAAGTATTCATGTGAATTTGACAGCGACAAATCCAATGGTTTTGAGTCTAGACAAACTGGATTACACTTGATTTTGTTATTATTCCTTTACGTTCCCAGTGGAACATAGGGCAACTTCAAGCTAGAGCTCTGAAGTTTCAGTAACAGTGGTGTTTATTTTTACGGGATGGGGTTCCTAGCCAGCCTCATGCCCAACCTTCCTTCTTTACCAGTCTTATTACTGGCTTAGCGCGGTAAAGGAGTGCGTCGGTAGCCGGGAATCGAATCCCGAACCACTTCGTGGTTGTTGACGCACACTTGATTTGATGTTGTAGTTTAAGGATAACTGTTTCATAACTGAGAAAACCTTTAATCACTGTTGGATCCACTGAAATCTGATAATCTGGTTTCATATCTCTGTGTATTAATCAATAAATCAATTGACTTTTTGGTTACCTTAGCACTAATTGTATGTATACTTTTAAGCTCACCTCACTACCTTCTGATAACCTCCTGAACATTCAAGTCTGTAGAAATGAAGCGTATATCTGGCGTTATTTGTTTCACAAGTTGTAATTCTTATGGCTCAGGGGACTAGCGGAGTTTTGAGGTGGTGGGTACGTGTGCGCAAGTTAAACATAACATCACCTAACTTCTGTGGATCTGGGGTCCATTGCTTTAGTCACTCGACCTGAAATCACTAAATCACAGTTTCAAACCTTGTCTACCCCGTGATTTCAAGTTAGATCATGAACTAACATCGGTTAGGTTATGTCCCAGTGGCTGGATAGCCAACGCTCTTGCAGAGTTTTCTGAACACAAGCTGCAATCTACGAATGTTTGGCATGCGATTCGTTCCCGCCAAATGTTCGATGATGTTACAGGGCTGGACTATACTGACTCCTATCTTAGAAGCAGGGAATGAAGTGGTAGAGCACGTTGACCACTTCACTTATTTGGGAAGTTGCATCAGCCAGTGCCAACGAGTTGATCGCTGACGAAATCTCAGGACGGATACAGAGGGCTAGTTTCGCATATACCAGTTTACGCCGTCTCTGGCGTAGACGTGATATCCGACTGTCGACCAAAGGGCGTGTGTACTGTTCAGCAGTCTGCTCCGTCCTCCTTTATGACTGTGAGACTTGGCCATTGATAGTGGAAGACATGAAGAGATTATTTAGCTCTCTTTGATCATGGGTGCTTGCGTTTCATCTCCCATGCGTGTTAGTTGGTGGTATAATAGGGCGAGCAACATTGAGGTTAGGCGTTGAGTGCTAGGTAACGCGTGGGGGGAAATCAATCGACGAGGCTGTGAAGCTACAGCGACTGAGATGGTTAGGGCATGTGTTACTTATGCCTAGTCATCGCCTTCCTCGACGGGCAATGTTAACTGACAGTGGGTTAGGCTGGAAAATAGCTAGCTGTCGTCAAACCAAAACATGGATTCATCAGTCAGGTAGGGAGTTGTAGACTTCCTGATCGGGGTCCTCGGGACGGTAAAAACCAATAGAGGCTGGAGACAATTGGTGATATGGCTCAAATTCGTTGTTGTCAATGGCTGTCGCAGATGCATCCACTCTTTGTGACCTATAATTTCCAATGAAACTATATTGTTCTTCGTTATTACTATTCCTTTTGTCTCATGTCTCTATCTACTGTCTCTATTTTGCATTCATTTCTTTTTACTTTCCTCTTCGGCTTTGTGTGCTACAAGGAGGTAGTGTGGCGAATTGAACTGCTGCCCATCAGTGCAAAGTTCTATGTTGAAAACAGACAGACAACACTCTTGCCTCGTATCCTGAAGCTTATAAGTTTTATCTCCGTTGGGGTCATGGGTGTGCGTTGCTGAATACTCCTAAACTCGAACAATACATCTGTCCAGTGTTCACTGATTTCTAGTAGTTATCTGACTGATGTCAGCCATTTGTTGATCTGATGGAGGATTTCATCATGAGCTGACATCGGTTAGAGAAACACTGGGAAACTTGCCAGGGAGTACTGTTTCCTCCATCCTAGTTTGAGACTCTTGATGAGTACGCATCCACCACCAGGGTTCGAACCCAGGACCTTCTGATTACAAGGCGAGTGAACTCGTAGACCATTGAGCCACTGGGACCCGATTCAATGGCCAGCCCATAGATTCTAACTTCTGCCAATTCGCGACACAGCGCGACCGTTTCGCAATGTCTTCTTCGATGAGTTACCGCCTTATCTTCAACCTGCTGTACCCTACTG